GGTGATGGAGGAGATGGAGGAGATGGAGGTGATGGAGGAGATGGAGGAGATGAAGGTGATGGAGGAGATGGAGGCGATGGAGGAGATGGAGATGAATGAGGTGATGGAGGAGATAGAGGTGATGGAGGAGATAGAGGTGATGGAGGAGATAGAGGTGATGGAGGTGATGGAGGAGATTGAGGAGATGGAGGTGATGGAGGAGATGGAGGTGATGGAGGAGATGGAGGAGATGGAGGTGATGGAGGAGATGGAGGTGATGTAGGAGATGGAGGAGATGGAGGTGATGGAGGAGATGGAGGTGATGGAGGAGATGGAGGAGATGGAGGTGATGGAGGAGATGGAGGAGATGAAGGTGATGGAGGAGATGGAGGCGATGGAGGAGATGGAGGAGATGGAGATGAATGAGGTGATGGAGGAGATAGAGGTGATGGAGGAGATAGAGGTGATGGAGGAGATAGAGGTGATGGAGGAGATAGAGGTGATGGAAGAGATAGAGGTGATGGAGGAGATAGAGGTGATGGAAGAGATAGAGGTGATGGAGGAGATAGAGGTGATGGAGGAGATAGAGGTGATGAAGGAGATGGAGGTGATGGAGGAGATGGAGGTGATGGAGGAGATGAAGGAGATGGAGGTGATGGAGGAGATGGAGGAGATGGAGGTGATGGAGACTGGGGGGTGTAGGCCGATATTTGTCCTGAGTAAAGCCGATTTAAAGCCAGGCACATCCTCGGCTACCCAGTGCTGCTACAGAATTTTATTTCAATCTATTTTTACGTCCATCAATAACATCTGCATAATAAATTCTCTGACTGAACTTTATTTAAGCGTCTGACTTTAACACCGGCAAGTTCAGATTTAACAGCTGGTTCAATTCAGAGTTCAATGATTCAGCTTCAGAAATTTTGTGCATCAACTGAAGTTATTAGTGAGACTTTAGCGTGAAAATAAGATATCGGCATCAGCGACAGAAAACCCATCTCAGTCGACCGCTAGCAGAGACGGAGATCAAAGGAGATCATCTGTGGTCTGCAGCGCTGCACAGCCGGTTTATCCCTCACTAGGTAGAGTATTTACTAACAAATCACAATGTAGCCAGTGTGTGTGTGTGTGTCCATGCTTGTGTGTGTATGCGTGTGTTTGTGCGTGTGTGTGTGTTTGTGTGTGTGTGTGTGTGTGTGTGTGTGTGTCCATGCTTATGTGTGTGTGTGTATGTGTGTGTCTGTGTGTGCGTATGAGTGTGTGTGTGTGTATATGTGTATGTTTGTGTGTGTGTGTGTGTGTCCATGCTTGTGTGTGTATGCGTGTGTTTGTGTGTGTGTGTGTGTGTGTGTCCATGCTTATGTGTGTGTGTGTATGTGTGTGTCTGTGTGTGCGTATGAGTGTGTGTGTGTGTATATGTGTATGCTTGTGTGTGTGTGTGTGTGTGTATATGTGTGTGTGTGTGTGTGTGTGTGTGTGTGTGTGTGCGTATGAGTGTGTGTGTGTCCATGCTTGTGTGTGTTTTTGTGTGTGTGCCATACTGAGCCAGGATCCTCTGGAGGTTTCTTCCTGTTAAAAGGGAGTTTTCCTCTCCACTGTCGCTGCATGCTTGCTTAGTATGAGGATTGCTGTAAAGACTCTGACACTAGTCAGTGACTCGATGCAACCTGCTGGGTTTCTTATATAGAAAACTTGTTACTGACTGGGTTAATGACCTGACCTGTGTTGTTTACTGTGTGAAGGTCCTTGAGGACCTCTCTGGTCGTGGTTTGGCGCTTTAGAAATAAACCGAATTGAATCTAATTAAATGATCAAGATGATTACAGAGCCAACGTGTTGGAAGTGTGGGACAATAACAGCTGAACTTCAGAGGTTACACTATATTTTAAATGGTTTCGGGGTCTTCTGGATGGGGTTGAAGCTGATGCTCGGTTAGTTCGAGGCTCTCTGAGTCGGAGCAGAGACGTGGAAGGATCAAACGCCACCGGAGAACGTTCCACAGCTAAAGCCCGTTTGTCCGGGCTGAGCCAGAACAAAGACGGTTTCTTAGGAGAGAAAAGATGAATTTGACACTTGCTGTTTCACATATTTCCCTTTCTAAAGCAGCACAGCTTCGGTCCTCAATAGGAACGTGATTCTGTGTGGCCATCTGCAGGAGCATCACACTCAAAGACGACAGAAAAAAAGAGTGTAAACTTAAATTGTAATTTCAGATCTGGAGGTGACTCCAAAAGTTTGCTCTGGCACGCCGTTTGATTGAAAATACTCATTTGATCATCTGATGTGTGCACACATTTGGGCTCCACACCTGCTTCTTTCTCCCTTTGGAAAACAAAAACACATTCTTGCACATCTAACCCAAGCCCGACCGCGTGGAGTCTTTATGAAATGGTGTGACCAGGACAGTGAACTGGGTTCTGCCCGGCGGGCCGGCTCGGAAGCAAACGTGTGCACGGACCGACGGTGACGATGGTTTTAAAAAGGCTAGAGGATCTTCTGTGTCTCACTATTTGGCAGGGCT